TATCCAAGTTGTCAAATGTTGGTTTATAGTTATTCATAGTATCTCTTTTTTTCTATTTAACATCTGTACAATCTGTGGTCAACCCCTTTTTTTTTTAAATTATGTATTTTAGAGAGGGAGAAAGAGCCGGGGGCGGGGGTGCGGAAAGAGGGGCAGAGGGACAGGGGAGAGAGAATCTTAAGCAGAGCCCGACATGGGGCTTGATCCCATGACCCTGAGATTGTGACTTGAGCCAAAACCAAGAACAGGACACTTAATTGTGCCACCCAGGTGCCCCTGGACAACCCGTTTTTGATCCTTGGCATTTGTTTTTTGTGTTCTTTTCTGCATCAATTAATCTAGCCCAAGATTTGTCAAATTCATTTCTCTTTTTCAAAGAACCAGCTTTGGCATTTTAATTTTACATATTTTCTATTTTGGTGATATCTACTTATAAATTTCTTTCTTATACTTAAGGTTTAGTTCTTTTTCTAGCATTTTAAAATGGATTGTTAGGTCATTTGTTGTAGATATATTCTTATAAGAATTTATAAATTTCTATTGGAGCACCGCCTTAGATATACTCCACAAATTTTGGTGTCATCATTCACTTTAAAACAGTTTTAATTTCCTCATTATTTTATCTTTGACTTGTGAGTTATTTTAAAGTATGTTATTTAATTTCTAAGATACTTGAAGTTTTCCTGGATTTATTATTATAGATCTCTTAAATTTTGTTATCAGAGAATATAGTCTTTATGATTTCAAGTCTCTTAAATTTATTTTTTTAGCATTGTTTTATTGAAACAATTGACATATACATTATATTAGTTTCAGGTGTACAACATAATGATTCAAAATTTGTATATATTGGGAAATGACCATTTCAATAAGTCAACTTAACATCTGTCACCATACATATTTCCAAACTTTTTTTCTCCTGTTGTACTCTCTTGGCAACTTTCATATGTGTGGTACAATATTATTAACTACAGTCACCATGGTGCATATTATCCCCATGACTTATTTATTTTATAACTGGAAATTTGTACCTTTTTACCACCTTTCCCCACTTTGCATATGTTCCACCTCCTGACTCTGACAACCTCCAATTTGTTCAGTGACCTTAGTTTTTTTTAAGATTCCACATATAAGTGAGGCTGTGCTGTATTTGTGTTTCTCCATTTGACTTCTTTCACTTCACTTAATACCCTCTAAGTTCATCCATGTTGTCAAAAATGGCAAGATTTCATTCTTTTTTATGGTTGAGTAATATTCTAGTGTGTGTGTGTGTGTGTGTGTGTGTGTATACACACACATACCCACATTTTCTTTATCCATTCCTATATCAGTAAACAGGTTGCTTCCATACTTTGGCTATTGTAAATAATGCTGCGGTGAACGTGGGGGTACATTATGTTTTTGAATTAGTGTTTTTGTTTTCTATGGGTAAATAACCAGAAGCTGGATTTTATATTTCTATTTTTATTTTTTTTGAAGAACCTTCAATACTGCGTTTCATAGTGGCTGTACCAGTTTACATTCTCACAAACTGCATGAGTTTCCTTTTCTCCATATCCTTGTCAATGTTTGCTATTTTTTTGTCTTTTTGATAGACTAGCTGTTTTGACTGGTGTGAAGTGATAGCTCATTGTGGTTTTGATTTATATTTCTCTGATGCTTAAATGTTGAGCATATTTTCATGTGTCTTTTTGCCATCTGTATGTCTTCTTTGGAAAAATATTCAGGTTCTCTGACCACTTTTAATTGGATTTATTTTGGTGTTGAGTTGTAGAGTTCTTTATATATTTTAGATATTAACCCCTCATCAGTGTATCATTTTCAAATATCTTCTATTTGGTAGGTTGTCTTTTAATTTTGTTGGTTTCTTTTTCCTTGAAAAAGCTTTTTAATTTGATGTAGTCCCAATTGTTTATTTTTGCTTTTGTTTCCCTTGCCTAATGAGACAGGTGTAAAATAATATTGCTAAGACTGAGGTCCAAGAGATTACTACCTTTTATTTTATTTTAGGAGTTTTATGGTTTTAAGTCTTACTTTTACCTCTTTCATCCATTTTGAATTTATTTTTGTGTGTGGTATAAGAAAGCAGTCAAGTTTCATTCTTTTGTATATTGCCATCCAGTTTTCCAGCACCGTATTGAAGAGGTTTTTTTTTAAAAGATTTTATTTGTTTATTTGAGAGAGAGTGGTCAGAGCACGCACGGGGGGTGGGGTGGTGCTTGGGAGAGGGAGAAGGAGACTCCCTGCTGAGTGGGAAGCCTGACGCGGTGCTCAATCCTAAACCAAAGGCAGACACTTAACCGACTGAACCACCCAGGTCCCCCTTGAAGAGACTGTCTTTCCCATTGTGTATTTTTGACTCTTTATCATAGATGAATTGACCATATAAGTGTGGGTTTGTTTCTGGGCTTCCTATTCTGTTCCATTTGATCTCTAGGTCTTTTTTTGGAGCGGGTACCACAATGTTTTCATAGCTTTCTAGTATAGTTTGAAATTGGAGTGTGATTCCTCTAGTTTTGTTCTTTCTTCAAGATAGATTTGGCTGCTCATGGTCTTTTTTGGTTCCACATGTTTTAGGATTTTTTTTTGTTGTTCTAGTTCTGTGAAAAATGCCATTAGTATTTTAGTAGGGATTGCATTAAATCTGTAAATTGCTTTGAGTAATATGAACATTTTAACAATATCAATGCTTCCAGTCCATGAGCATGGAATATCTTTCCATTTATTTGTGTCATCTTCAGTTTCTTTCATCAATGTGCTATAGTTTTGAGTATAGGGTTTTTTACCTCCTTGGCTAAATTTATTCCTATTTTATTTTTCTAATGCAGTTGTAAATGGGATTGTTTTCTTAATTCGTCTTCCTGTTAATTTGTAATTAGTGTATAGAAACAATAGATTTCTGTATTTTAATTGTATTCTGCATCTTACTGAATTCACTTAATAGGCTTTTTATGGCGTCTTTAGGGTTTTCCACATAAAGTATCATGTCATCTGCAAATAGTGACAGCTTTCCATCTTCCTTACCAATTTGGATGCTTTGTATTACTTGTCTAATTGTTGTGGCTATGATTTCCTGTATTATGCTGAATAAAAGTGACAAGAGTGGATATCCTTGTCTTGTTCCTGATCTTAGAGAATGGAGCACTGGGTGTTATATGCAAGCAATTAATCAGGGAACACTACATCAAAAACTAATGATGTAATATATGGTGATTAACATAATAAAAAAATTAAAAATAAGCTTTCAACTTTTACCATTGGGTATGATTTTAACTGTGGGTTCATCCTCCTCGGGTTTTATTATGTTGAGGGATGTTTCCTCTGTACCCACTGTGACCTATTTAATGTATAGTTGAATTTTATTTGCTAATATTTTGAGGATTTTTGCATCTATGTTAATCAAGGCCTGAATTTTTTTGTGGCATCCTTTGAGAAAAGGATGTATTAGGGTAATGCTAGTCTCATGAGTTTAGAAGAGTTTGGAAGAGTTTCAGAAGGATTGGTATTCTTGTTTGAATGTTTGGTAGAATTCGTCTGGTTCTGGACTTTTGTTTGTTGGGAGGTTTTTGATTACTGATAAAATCTCCTTACTAATAATTTGTTCAGATTTTCTCTTCTCTGAAAATGTCTTTTAACCTCACATGACTCAATCTCACACGACTACCCTTTACTTCAGATGACAGTTGCAAGTAGTAGGTCCCCAGATATTCAAAACTTCTGTCCAACTTGGCTATAAATTAGAGGTTAAGTCTCCCTTCTTGGATTTGATCATTTGCTAGAACAGCTCACAGAACTTAGGGGAAAACTAACACTTAACCAGCTTATTATATAATAAAAGATATGATATAAGGATACAGATGAAGAACCAAATGAAGAGATACATAGGGCGAGGTCTAGAAGAGTCCCAAGTGCAGGAGCTTCTGTCCCTGTGGAGTTGGGGTGTGCCACCCTCCTGGTACATGGATGTGTTCATCAACCCAGAAACTCTCCAAACCCCGTACTTTGGGGATTTTTATGGAGGCATCATCATGTGGCACGATCAATCATTAACTCAATCTCTAGGCCTTCCCCTCCTAGGAAGAGGTTGGGGGTAGGACTGAAAGTCTCAATCTTCTAATCATGGCTTGATCTTTCTGTTGACCAACTTCTGTCCAGAAGCCCACCAGAAGTCACCTCATTAGAACGAAGGTCATTTCTGTCACTGAGGAAAATTCAAGGGATTTAAGAGCTCTATGTCAGGAAGTAGGGTCAAAAACCAAATACTAGAACAAAAGATGCTCCTAAGTACTCTTATCATTTAAAGAAATTACAAGGGTTTTAGGAGCTTTGTGCAAGGAACCAGGGATGGAGACCGGTTCTGTTTCACAGTACGGGATTCTAGCTTGTCAGTTCTTTTCTATTAGCACTTTAAAGATATTGCTCTGCTGTTTCTGGCTCAGCAAGTGATCTTTTATGGTGACAGTTTCTGATGAGAAATATGCAATGAAGCATTGTTTTTATTCTCCTTTAAAGATAAGGACCATGTCTTGGATCTTTTTCACCATTACCTAGCACATCTCTGATGTGTAGATGTACAATAAATTTTTCTTGAATTTATTTTGATTGTGTTACATCTTAAGCCTGTCTAGTCTTAATATTAATTTACTTATTAGGGTTCTATTTTGGCAGGATCGGAATTGCCCAATATGTATTATTGCCGTTAAACTTTATAACATCCCTTCACTAGATATGAATAACCAGATGAAAGAAACCATGCATTACTGATTTTTTGAAATGTTTCTCTCCCATTTTTCCTTCGTTACCTGGCTTCCTTTCCATGTAAAAGGAAAAAAGGAGGCAGTAGATACTTACCAAAATTATTTGCTTCTCTTCTCTTTTGCATAGAAACTACTCATTTTATAAAATAATGGACTATTAAGGGACATTCAGAAAACAATGAGCCAAAAAGTGTTCTGGGAGAGTTCTTTATTTTATAACAATCTTATGTTTAATATCTATAGAGAGAATTAAATACAGCAGAGATTTCCTGTTGAAGCTCTCAAGTGTTTCCATCTGCAGAAAAAAACCAGACTTTCTGCCTGATCATCCCATTGTACTTCAAAAACCAGTAAGTAGTTCTAATTTTGTATTAACTAAAATATTTGGATTCTTTCCCTAGATTTTAAATCTTATTGTGGAATATAATTCAGAAAAGTAGGTAAATCTAAATGTATAATATAACCAATTACTCTAATTACCACGCTGGTCAAGAAATAGAATGGAATTTTAAGAAATATTTTTTCCATTGAAAGATAAAGAGCCTCAGAGTTGTATTGTTTTTCATTTAAGTTCTGTAATCCATCTGCAGATGATTTTACTGTATGATGTAGGGGTCAAGTTTTATTTTTTTCTACATGGATATCTAGTCATCCTAGCAATATTTACTGAAAGGACAGTCCTCTGCCACCTTTGTGGCAATATATGTGTGGTCTGTTTCTGGGCCCTTTACTCTTCTCAGTTCGTCTTTTTATATAGTAAAACAAGTCACACCACTTATTCTTTGGTGTGTTTTTGCTGTTTTTAGTGCTTTATATTTGTGTCACTGCATCAAATTTCATCAAAATAAATACACCTCTTTTAGCACATTGATTGGAAACTGACAGGAGTTTTGGTATCAGGCTTGGGTTCAAATTGTAGCTTCACCTTGTGTTCTAGTATACCGCTCAAACTTAAGTCACTTAACCTTGAACCTCAGTTTTGTGATTGCCGATGAGGTTGGATAATGTATAGAAGGAGTTGGATAGTACTTAGTGTTCTCATTATGCACTTAGTAAATTGTCTGTTTCCATTTTGACTACAATTTAGAGTTTTCACAAACTTTTTTTATATGGGTAAAAGTATTCTATTGAGATGAACTCAGAATATAAGTATGCTGAGAGTGGCTCAAATAACATACCACCCGTGCTCTCCATTTTTGGGATTTCTAGCCCTTTGGAATACAAAGCCTCTTTTCTTCTTAAAACTCCCTAAACTTGTAGAACCTTTAAGCAGAAATTTAAGTTTCTTTCATAACCTCACACACAGGAATATTTTATCATGAAAAAATGTTAATGATGGGAAAATTTTCCCACCTGTTCAGAAAAAAATCTTAGGAGTATGTATGAATAAATTTAACTTGAGTGCTATATAAAATATGGCCACTTTTTCATTTGCAGACTTATTTCATCTCTTTTATTTTGTAAATAAAATTTTGACATATTATTTTGAACACGCCAGGTTACCACAACAACAGGTTTGGAATACAATCTAGTATATTTAAAAATGAATTACATATTTTTCAAACATAGAACTGTTATGACAAATTCCAGTTACTTTAATACTTTCTATAGTAACATGCACTTAAGATCTGTAAACACTTAATAGGATCACAGTATTTGGTTTAAGTAGTAAAAACTGTATTCATTCAAATTAATTGATAAATTAACTTTTCTTCTATGTTACAGGAAAACCACCAAAGTTTTAAGTAGCATTTTAAGAACAGATGAATTTGAAGATAAAGAATTATTCGTTTTCTATTTTGGACACCTGCAAATGAAGTGGATCTAGTAACGATAACTGTAATGGACTGTGACAATTCAGTTTATTTTTAATTTTGATGGTTGGGTATTTGGTTTCTCCTAAAATGAGAAAGATATTTTAAACTATAAAGAAAGAATTTTCTAATCAGTTTTAGCTTTGCAGGCAGTTTCCTGCATAAATTGGAAAGTAACACTGGAAAGTAAGAATTTGGTTAGTAAAGTGGGAAAGCTGTATTTATAATTTGCATGCTACTTGCAATTTTTTGTTTTTCATCTCTTGTAATAATGGAAATGTAAGCTGTAAAGATTCTCAAATATATACGCTATGATGTATATATGGTACATAATTTCTTGTTGCTTTTAAAGTTGGCTTTTGTTCTGTATTCCACTGATTTCCTACCGGCACTCTGAAAGGATCTTCACAATCCAATCTCTCCAGAGGCTTAAAACAATGCATAGTTCTCAATGACAGGAAGGAGAATATTTTAATAGGCATTTCTTTGGTCTCTAGGTTTTTGATAAAATTGTTTAAGATTCATAATTACTAGCAGAGATTGATAATTTGGAAACAATGAAACTCAAGGTGAAAAATAGCTGCTACTTGTCTCTAATCAGACCCCATGAACAGAAGAAGTTGGGCAATTGCAAAATTGATATTTTTATTCCCAAAAGAGGAAAAATTTAGGCATTTGCAAATAACTGAGGTATATTTTCAATTCTATAATTTCTTATGACAAGAACATGTATGGATGAAGAATTTGGGGGCTAAACTTTTAGCTCATAGAAATTTTATATAATAAATCTCCTGCATTTTGTCACTCTGGATGTTACTAATGAAAAAGTTTCTTCCAGCATAGTGTCAAAAAAAAATTGCTGATATAAAGGTAAGTGTAAACTCTCCCTACTTCTATTCTCTCAGATCCCCAGGTCTACTGGCAAGGCATTCAAGACCATCATTTGGCAGAAAGTTTATCATAAACTGAATTCTGAACTCCTAAAACCACTGGTCTTTGGGCTTGTTACCTGGATTCAAGCTTTAGTCCGTGGTAGGCTTCCCATCTTGGTCTTTTAGTACACTACTTTTCATTACTTTGTTCCCCAGAAAATTTTTTTTTGTAAACAGGGAAAAAAATACAGTAAAACCATAAATTTACGGGTTACTTAAAAATGATACATTTAAACCTAGGGCCCAGATTTTTCATTTATTTTTTGTCCTGTTTTCCCTTTATATTACTGTAGATTCCAGTGTGTATATATACACACACACAATTTATGCGTAATTTGTATAAGAGCTGGAGCCAGTATTACCATAATTAAATTGGTTTGCTTTATTATTTACCTATTTTCAAAGTTTTTTTTTGACTCTAGTTAAAAAAACGATAGAACCTATTCCAGTTTGGAATCTAAAGAGCCCTTCCGCTCAGCACTGTTACTGAGGGCAGAAATCTTTTTAAAGTCATACCACCATTGTACTTTGGAAACTGCCTCACACTTAAAAAGACTTAGGAACTTTCTGAATCTAATACTGAAATATGTTTTGATTGGCTATAATTTGTATTTTTTGAAACCATTCATAACCAACCCTTTCAAGAAGAGTTTTATGTCAAAAGTTACTGTGTATAATCAGAGAGAGATTGCAAAGACTGTTTTATTATCTGTTTGCCTTTGTACATATGTATAGCTTGTTTGAATAATCATTGTACATCTCCATTAATGTTCTCTGCTTTGTATATAAATTAAAAGAGTTTAGCCAGGTGTTGTTTCATAGTGTTTGTCATCTTTAGAAATGACCAGAGACAGACAGATATATATATGTCAAAATTTACTGCCCTTGTCTCGTAGAAGCTATGAAAACAGTTTTTACTTAGATGGATGAGGACTGAGGGGTATACAAAGGTATACCTTTGATTGAAGCTAATATTCCATAAATTCGTTTGAGAAAATATTTTAGGTCAAATTTTATATGTATAATTTAGTTCAATCTTCTGAGTTTTCCCAACAGTAAAAAAAAAAAAAAAATTAGTTTTTCCTTGAAGACCTGTGGTTTCAAAGGAATTTGGACTATAGAATAACATGGTAACAAACTTAATATGCACTGGATTTTTATTAGCAGCATTTATCAGAATACATTTTATTAAAAATATATGAGGTTGTATAGCAAATATATTAGGTACACAGAACATACCAACTGTTCTGGTGAAACTAGAATTGTCATTCTAGTGTTGAAATTGGAAAAAAGTTTTCTGTCTAGTACCTTCCTTATTTTACTACTTAAAGTTTTGTGCTTGTTTTATATTTCTTGTTTACTTAGGTTAAAATTTTATTATTTAAATATTTTGAAATTATTTAAATGCAAATGTCTATTTTTCGTAAGAAGATTAGTCCTCTGGATCATACACCAAAAAATTTGAATCAGATTTTCTCAAAGTAAAATTCTCCCATTTTCTTGATTTGTTGAACTTACATATAAGGGAATTATGATGCTAATAAATGATATAATGGTGTTACAGTACTAAATGGTACCCTATCACAGAATTGTTCACTTGTGAAAAACCAGTTTATAACCTGATAGGTATATAGAGTCAATAGATTACAGCCAAGACTGTTGTATGCTCATGTATTAACATTTTTTTTAGCTTAAACAACAGAAAAGTGTTTTCTTACAGTTCTAGAGACTGGAAGTCCAAGATCAAGGTGCTAGCAAGGTTGATTTCTTCTGAGGCCTCTCCTGGCTGGCTGTTGGCACCTTCTGACTGTGACCTCATGTGGCCTTTTCTCTGTGCACTTGCTGTCGCGCTCTCTGCACATAAGGACACCATTTTGGGTCACATATTAGCTTTTTCAGTAAAGTGAATACTCATCATGAGTTGGGAATGGAGTGAGCACTACCAAAGAATAAACTTCATTCACAGAAAATCAGTTACTTAAAAATGACAAAACACTGATTTAACCTTGATAGTTTATGACAAATCTACAAAAGCTATATCCTATGCAGTGATACTCTAAAAGTTTCCACTTCTTTTTTATCATTTCTTTTTCACAATTTTTTTCCTTTATGTGTACTTTTTTTCACATATTAGGATTTTGCCACTAAAGGGTTTTAGGTTACAATGTAGCAAAACAGCAAAAATTGAGAATAGTGAACTTCAAAAATTTAGCTAAACTTCACATGAAAGATAGAAGACATTTTAGAAGAGTGCACATCTTAAATATATTAAACAAAAGTATAGAGTAGATTAGTAACTGCAGAGAATTTTCTAATTCACATTTTAGATAAGAATACTTGTTTTGCACTTGGAACCATAAAGAAAATGTGTAGGAACATCTAGTTGTTCAGGATCCACCATGAAGCTGAAAAGAGAAAAACAACTATTATTAAATGAAAATAATTGCCAGGGTAAGTTAGTTCAAGGTGTAATCATTCTAAAGAGACTATTTTCTCCCACCTTTAGTCTGCATAATTATCTTTCAAGTTAGTCACTATTTCCTGTTTGAGCCAAGATTGAACTCTTCGTATGCAATATTTGTACCAGATCTTTTGGCACTTGGTCATAGTCTGTTATGTATGAATGGAGCTTATCTTGGTAATGAAATTATAAATGCCCTGAAGATGAAATCATGTTGTTTTAATCTACCCAGTACTGGCAGCAGTTTGGGAATGTAAGATACTTTTACATAACAATTTCAGAAAAATTGGGTATTAGCACGTGGATGTGTTTTAAATGTTTTTTAGTATATATTGTAAGATTGAAAATGTTTTCCCCAGTGAATATAAATATCCCAAAGACAAATCTATGGCAAAGAAGTAAGACTGGTGGAATGCTGTGAGAAACAGACAAATGGAAAGGATTGAAATTTGTTTGCAAATCTATTTGAGATATACTGGTTGGCAATAGGATCTTAACTTTCTGGTGTATCTTCTTTTCTCATAGCCAAGGCCTTTCTCATTTACCAAGGGATATTCTGCTCCACAGACCGAATTCTTCATATTTTGGCCTGGGGGTTTTATGATGGCTAGTGGGTCTGTTTGGCTGTACTCCATTATGTCTCATTTGAATGATTTTGATATTTGAGAGTCCATAGGAATATATTTCTTAAGATGTTTCTTAGGTAGTAAACCACTTAGAAACTTAATAAAAACAATCTTAGAAATCATAATTTGTGAGTTAAATTAAAAATACAAACCTACCCATCTCTGTATAATAGGTATTTTTTTTCAGATTTTTATTTTAGGTCTAAATATGTACAGCTGAAATGCTTTTGTTTTTATTTTAGCCTTCATATAACAAAATTCGTAAGACTGGTTACTAAAAATATTAGAAGTCATATGGCCATTAAAACTTTAATATTTATAAGCTAATTCTAGCTGTTTGTGCAGGGAGGTGTGTCTGCTGTTGCAATTTATAAAACTTTCACATTAAAAAAAATTGGATGCCCCAAATAGATGTTAAAAATCTTGAGATTTAAAAAACTGTTAGAAATCAAACCTGTCTTTTCGTTCTTCCAAATTTCAGTGGTCACTTTTGAAATTAGATGTGATAAGAAAATTAGGGTAACAAAAAGGCATTAAACTGCATTCAATTTGGGTCCTGAGAATAAGAACTGATCCAACATTATTTGTGCCCAACTTTTCTCTCTAAATTAGGAAATGCTGTAAGAGAGAAAGAATAATAGAAAAATTTCAGCCATATTAATGGCTTCCTTATTTGAGGATTAAATCAGATATTCAGCAAGAGAAATTTTGCAAGTCCACAAAGCTGTCCTTAAGAGCTAGAGTAAGTACCTAAAGCTCAGGCAGAGATGATAGGTCTGCTGACTGGAAAGCATTCACACCTGATCTCCCCCATCTCACCTACCTTCAATTCTAGAATTTATCTTTTCACTTTCCATTAAATCTACCCCAATTTTTAAATTCCTACCACTGTATTAAAACTGTTCTCTTGAACAGTGACCTCTTGTCAAATCCAGTTTTCAGTCCCATTCTCTTCAGTCCCACCCCACTACACAGGCCCCTGACAGGCACTGTGCATTGCATGGTTATTTCTCTTTTGGTTTCCTTGCTTATCTACTACTCTGATTCTCCACCTCTGAGTGGTTCCCCTCGGTCTCCTTAATAAAGGAGGCTTTTCCCTCCCTTTTAAATAAAGGCATTTTCCTAGGCTTTTGTCAGGTATTTTCTGACCTATACCCTTTCTCACTAAATCCAGGCTTCAAATATCAACTTGCCGTGGTTAACTCCTGCAAACTGTATTGGCAAGGGAACTCTCTGGGTAGCTCCTGGTTCAGGTGCCTTCTTTTTCCTGGCCTAGATTATTGCCCTGCCTGACCAGTCTCTCACCTCTCCATGATACTCACCTTTCTCACTCCTGCCAATTACTACTGATTAGAGCATTCACTACCCCTCTCAAAAACCTTTAATGATTCCTTATTACTAAGTTTTAACTCATTGTATTTTCGACCTCATTTCCTACACTCTTCTCTCTCTACAGGTACCATATATAAGCCCTATGCCTTAGTCTTACCTTTGCACCAATGAGCCAAGAACATTTAACATTTCTTGCATTTGTTCATGTCTAAAATTTACTTCTAGCAAAGTTTCCTCCATCTTTATTTGCCCAACTCACATTTTAAGTTCCAGCTCCAGAGTCATCTCTTTTTAAAAAACTTAAAGAAGCAAACCGTTCTCTAAATCCACATGCATATTATGACCAGTGGTAACTACTATGTTATGCCCTGAGCTTGTTTTTTTTCTGCAAGCATTTGTCTTTCCTACTGAACAGAAAGCATTTTATGGGAAGGGACTAAATTTTTACTTTGCATTCTCTCTAGCTCCCGACATAATGTTTATTCAAAATTGGAACTCAGCACTAGTAAGCACCCCAGTATCCCCAGTACCTAGCACATAAAACACTCATTAAATATATTTAATTGGTGACTGGAAGGGTAGATGAACAAATGAATTTTGGTTCTCAATTATCTTAAGCCTTGGCCAGGCCAGACGTCTTAGACAATTTCATTTCAAATTTCTCTTTCCATTCTGCTTTCCAATTACAAATAGTATTTTAACAGCTATTAAAATATTTCCAGCATAATTCTAATCTGCAGTCTATAGGTCACACATTTCAAATACTAAATTATAGTATGTTAAAGCATTTGAATAATTGTTTTGGAAATGTCATAATTTGACTCCAAGTTTGTGAGATTACTGAATGTGACCAGAAAATGACTAATATTAGGTTTAATATAGTCAGGAATACAAACAGGATCAACTAAGGAGTAAAGACAATAGAATATATAGATCTATTTCTTCCCCCCACTTTTAGATTTTAAGATCTAATAAAGACAGCACCACTGATCAAGTTTGGGGGTAAGAAAATACTATCTTTTAAAAAGCAAAAGACAATACAAAAGCATACAGAAGCACTGAAACTAGGGTAATTACCAGGAACTAGCATAGTAGATGTGAGTTCTGGAGTTTCCAAGAAATCCACGTTGCTTCTTTGGAATGTCTTGCTATAATTCGTCTGCAGGTGGCTGTATAAATAATCATAGGTTAAGGTTGTACACTTTTATTACAATCTTTCTAAGTAGAGTGCAACAGAGTTTGAATTCAGTCAAGATGGCAAGGTTTTGGATGATTTGGATTAAGTGTCTGAATATAGACTTCCTTCTGTGGTTATTTAGCCTTAAAAGTAATTTAACAATTGTCATCAGAAAAAAAATTTCTTAAAGACTTTTAAAAACAGAAGAACATTAATTCCCATGGAAAATAGAACAAAAGGAGAAAGATTTTAATTACAGAAAGAAGTTTAAAAAGAAGAAAGAATATATTGGCTGTCCGGATGATGAAAAAAATAGGATAGCTAAGAAGAGAGACTATAGATTTTCTCTTCCTAGGGGAAAAAGATCATCTCAAAGTGTAGGCCTGGAGTACAAAATTGAGTAAGTGGCCTTTAAAGCTCCCTTCTGTGTTTGAATTGGTGTCATTATGTATTATAGTTTTAAAATAGTCACAGAAAAAAAACTTATAGGTGAAATATGTATAACTAAATTCCCAGGTATTCTATTACTTGTACAACATGATTTGATACACATTATATACTGTAGAATAGTTACCAAGAGAAGTTGATTTTTTAATCGTTTCCAGTGTCTTTAATTTCCTTTTTTTTGCAGTTTAAAGACATTTAGAAAAGTTAAGCTATAATGGTCTTAACTGTTATATATAGTTTTACTGTAAAGTAAAATACGACAGAATTTATGAAAAATTAGAAAGTAAAATTATTTTCTCATCCTTCCTTTTCTGTGTCCTTTGTCCACCCACCCTCCTGACACTTTAGACACCGAGGACCCATATCTAATGGTTATACTTAAAGGAGGATCATTACCAAAAGTATTTGTGCTTTAAGAAGAAAGTGGTTTCTAATCCATGAGATAAATTCCTAAAAGGGTGGGATTTAGGAAAACGAACAAATGGGACAGATTTTAAGGTGAGGTAAAAGGAATAGAGCTTTTCCTACAAGTTCTAAAAACATTATGTATATTTCCCTCTCCCTGCCCCCCCCAAAAGCCTGTTATTACTTACCTATTCCACACACTGCTGTTCTCCCAAAACTCATAAATTATGTACCGAGATTCATTGGAAAGCTTCTGTATGGAAATACTGAAATGGAAAAGAAAAAGCGTAAGTAGCCACAGGAAATTAAAGACAAGAAGCAAACTAATTTTTCTTTTTTAAAAAAGATTTTGGTTATTTTAGAGAGAGAGTGCAAGCAAGCTCGAGTGGAGGGAGAGAATCTCAAGCATGGTTCACGTTGAGCAAGGAGCCCTACATGGGACTTGATCTCACGACCCTGAGATCATGACCTGAGCTGAAATCAAGAGTTGGATGCTTAATCGACAGCCACACAGGCGCCCGAAGGAGAAAACTAACTTTTCTAATCATCTCTGTACGTGGTATGAAACAAGCTTACATATTCATATGGGAAACACCTATGGTGCCTGCATGAAAATGAAAGTTTTGAGAAGAATTGATTAGTTCAATATGTCTGTATTGTTTGACATAATTTTTTAATTTTCTGGTTTGGCATCATGAAAATCATCTCAGTATATTATAGACATCACAAATACAACTTCTGTAAAATTTCATTCATTCAAAAGATTGAGTATCTGTTGTGTTACGGTTCCAAAAAATGTCGAGTGCATGCCACTGCCCCTGCCCTCAAGTGCAGCTCTTTGAATCCTGTCTGCCTCCATAGCTCTTTCCAAATTCCTGGCCTTATCTCTCCTTGGATTGACTGCTGTAAGGCTTCTGGTTTGCCAGTGCCCATGGTTCGTTCTCTCTCTCTCTCACACACATACCTCTCAATTTTCTCTCCAACTTGGAGAGTCCACATTCTAGCCATAATTGTAGTTTTTTTCTTTGTGTGCTTTTCCAATTTAGGGCAAATTTGTTCCTTGCAATTCTCTGACCAGCCTGAGAGTGGCGAAAAGGCTATGTGTTTTGGAGGAGTTGGCTTGGGGGTGTGCTGAAAAGACACATTGGGGTGAAGGCTGGATTTAATCCTGGACCAATAAAGAACCACGGAAGGATTTAAAACAGGGAGGTATCAGGGTTAGAGGTGGGTTTTAAAAGATCCTTCCGATGGTGGTGTGAGGTATCCCATGGAGAATCGTCAATACAACACAAGAAGAAAAGCTAGAAAGGTAGTGAAATCGCTTAGGTGAGTGATGACAAAGATCCAAATTAAGGTACAAAGGAGAAGGGGACAGATTTATAAATTTAAGGGAGAATGGGAGACAAATACAAAGATGCCTTTAAAAAATTAATTCCAGGGACTTCCAGGGAAGATGGTGGAGTATGAGGACCCCAAATTCACCTTGTCCCACAGACAGAACTAGATAACAGCCACCTCAGTATAAGTAACTCAGAAAATGACCCATAGACTAGCAGAACAGATTCTCCATAGCTAAATGTAGAGAAGAGACCATATCTAACTGTTGGGAGCTACAGGGACTGTTGGACTGCCGGCAGAGGGGAGGGACACATGGGGGTAGAGGAGACAGAAACAGACCCTCACAGTGGGAAGCCTGCAAGGGGAAGATGAATTTGGCTTTGAAATATCAGAAGGGCCAAATTTCATGAGTTCTTACAACCAGTGGGTCTTAAAACTTAAAATGTAAAAAATCAGCAGGGTTGGCTCTGGGAGAGCCTGGAGGGATTCAGAGAAACTCAATCCCTACCCTTAAAGAGCACAACAAACAGCCCCATGAAGATACAGCATAGAAGCAGCAGTTTGAAAAAATGCCTGGAATATACTTGTTTACTAATTTCAGGGCATGTGCTGGAGGGGCAGGGATCATTGGCAGACTTCTCCAGGAACCCAGGAACAGGCAGGTGCCATTTCCCTCCCCTGATCCCCAGTATAAATACACAGCCACCTGTGGGTACCAGAGCAGCATGGACAATCCCTACATAACTTGCTAATACTGTGCATCCTGCCCAGCCCCACCCACCCTGCATCCCTGCACTTAGGCGGATCTGCCCTCTCCAACTTGGCCTGTCTTGGTTCTGGTGGCTGCAGGTCCTTCCCACAGCAGACCAGGACAAACCTTGCTAACACCACGCATCCAGCCCCTGTTCGGCAGATCTGCCCCCTCCTAGATGCTCTTGGCCGGAGCCCATCCAAAGCAGAGCCATAAGCTTGGCTGTGTACAAGCAGCTCTGAGAGAGGCCAGCACCACTCCAAGGTGATGCCTGCCCCTGGGAAAGGGGGAGATAACCACATACACACCAGTCCAACTACAGCCCCAGCAGTGGGCTGAGGGCAGACGTCTGGTCTGACTGCAAGCCCTGCTCAACAATGAACAAAAACTTCCCAGGAGACAAAACAGTGAAAGTGCCCTGCGTTCAGTGCTACTATATTTCTGGCAAATGTCTGGTCTGACTCAACTCAAGCCCAAGGCGGCCCAAGACTGGCTCACTAACAGCACAGGGACCAGACTACTGACAACAGGCTACAAGAGCCATTGCTGATGACTGGACTGAAGGAAAAAGTGGCTCAGTCACAATAGCAGGGTGCATGAAACACACACAGGAGACACCCTTGAAGTGCCAGGTTCGGGTGAACAAGGGACACTGCACTGGAGGGCACTATAGGACCTCTTCTTCATAAGGCCACTACTTTCAGGAGCAGGAGACAGAGCTGACTTTCCTAATACACAGAAACAGAGACAAATGAGGAGACAGAGGAACACATCCCAAATGGAAAAACAGGACAAAATCACAGCAAGAGGCCTAACTGAAATGGAGATAATATGCCTGATGGAGAATGTAAAGTACTGATCATAAAGATACTCACTGGATATGAGAAAAGAGTGGAGGACATCAGTGAGACCCTTAACAGTGAGACAGAAAACAAAAAAATAATTAGAAATGAACTCAATAAATGAAATAAAAATATACTAGATGGAATGAGGAGACTAGAGGAAGCAGAAAAACAGATCAGTGACTTGGGAGGACAGTAATGGAAAGCAATCAAGCTGAACAGGAGAAAGAAAAAAATAATACAAAATGAAAATAGACTTAGGGATCTCAGCAACACCATCAAGTGTACTAACATTCACATTATAGGGATCCCAGAAGTAGAAGAGAGGGAAAACAGGGCAGAAAATTTATTTGAATAAATAATAACTGAAACTTCCTGATTCTAGGGAAGGAAACAGATATCCAGATCCAAAAAGCACAGAAAGACCCTAATGAAATCAACCCAAGAAGGTCCACACCATGACACATAATAATTAAAATGGCAAAAAGTAGTGAGAGAGAATTTAAAAGCAGCAAGAAAAAAAAAGAAAACAGTTATATATAAGGGAAACCACACAAAGCTATGAGCTGATTTTTTAGCAAAAAGATTACAGGCTGGAAAGGAGTGGTGCGATACATTCAAAGTGCTGAAAGAAAAGAATCTGCAGCCAAGAATGCTCTATCCAGCAAGGCTATCATTCAGAATAGGAGAGAGAAAGAGTTTCCCAGATAAAAGCTAAATTCATCACCATTAAACCAGCCTTACAAGAAATGTTAAAGGGGACTCTCTGAGTGGAAAGCAAAGACCGTAAGTAGGAGTAAGAAAAGTAAGAAGCACAAAAGAGTAAAATTAAGTACATATGTAAAAACTGGTCAAGAGACTCACAAAAGGTTGTAAAGCATGGCACCATATACCTAAAATTTGGGGGTTGAGGAGTAAAGAATGAGTTCATACCGAAGCAACCATCAACTTAACATAGAGTGCTAGATGCAGAAGATGTTATATGCAAACTGAATAGCCACAAATAAAAAACCAATAATAGATATGCAAAAAATATAAAGAAAGGAATCCAAGTATATCACCAAAGAAAGCCAACTAATCACAACAAAAGAGCAAGAGAAGAACAGAGAAAATCTACAAAAATGACCATAAAACAAGTAACAAAATGTCAGCAAGTTTGTATCTATTAGTAATTACTTTGAAAGTAAATGGATTAAATGCTCCAATCAAAAGACACAGGGTGACAGAATGGATAAAAAATCCAGACCCATCTACAGGTTGCCTACAAGAGAAGCATTTCAGACCTAAAGACACATGCATATTGAAAGTGAAGGGATGGAAAAACATTTATCATGCAAATGGACATGAAAAGAAAGCTGAGGTAGGAATACTTACATCTGGCAAAATAGACTTTAAAATGAAAATTATAAAAAAGACAAGGACACCACATAATCATAAAGGGAATAATCCAACAAGGAGATATAACAATTGTAAATATTTATGTACCCAACATGGGAGCACCCACATACATAAAGCAGTGATTAACAAACGTGAAGTAATCAAGAGTAATACAATAATAGTAGGGGACTTTCACACCCCACTTACATCAATGAATAGATCATCCAAATAGAAAAAAAATAAGGAAACAGTGGCTTTGAATGACACACTGGACCAGAAGAATCCAAGAGATATATTCAGAACAGTCCATCCTAAAACAGCAGAATACACATTCTTTTCAAGGGTACATGGAACATTCTCCAGAATAGATCACATATTAGGCCACAAAGTAAGCCTCAATGAATTCAAAAAGACTGATTTCATATCATTCATCTTTTTTGAACAGAATGCTATGAAACTAGAAATCAACCACAAGAACAAATCTGGAAAGAGCACAAATACATGGAGATTTAATAACATGCTACTAACAATCAGTGGGTCAACCACAAAATCGAAGAGGAACTTTAAAAATACATGGAAACAAATGAAAATGAAAATGCAATGGTCCAAGTCTTTTGGATACAGCAAAAATGGTTTTAAGATGGAGGTTTATAGCAATATAGGCCTACCTCAAGAAGAAAAATCTCCTAAAAGAGCTAGAAAAAGAATAAACAAAACCCCAAACCAGTAGAAGGAAGGAAATATTAAAATATTAAAGTAGAAATAAACAAAATGGAAACTAAAAAAAAAATCAATACAACATATCAATGAAACTAGGAGCTGGGTCTTTGAAAAGATCAACAAAATTGATAAACTTTAGCCAGAACTCATCAGAGATAGAAAGAGAGGGAGAGAGAGAGAGAGGACCCAAATAAAATCAGAAATGAAAGAGGAGAAATAACAACCAATACCACAGAAA